AGTTAACAACGAGTCAAGGCTTCAATGTAGGTGTACCCAGACAAAATGCTTGAGGTGTGGGATAAGATGTAGGTAATATAAGAATACATAAAAATGGGTCACAAAGGAAAGAAAAATGCTTGTTCACTGCATGTAATTTACTCTGACCAGGTAGATCTCATCTCTGAATCTTTGGGTACATCCAAAGGTTGTTAATTTTTTTTAATGAGCTGGGAAAGTAGACGGCACCAGTAACACCATGAAAACAGATGACTTCATTAAGAGTTGGCTGAGTCGATGTTTTTTTTTCCCCCAGGAGGCCAATAGATTTCATTAGGAAGCAGGAAATGGCTCAGAGAGCAGCTACAAGTTTTTCATTCCAGGTAGAGGCAGAAAGGACCAAGCATGAGTGGTGGAGCTGGGGACACAACCGCAAAGACCATGAGATGTGGCTGGTAGTTGGGACCACAGGCGGTCACAGCCAACAGAACTCAGATAAGAGCAGTGTGCCTACAGCCTCATTCCCACTATTTAAACCATTTAAATGTGCAGTACTGACAAGGATGCAGGTTTGGAGGGTGAAAGCAATGTCTCAGAAAAAAAAGCAGGCCCATGAGCGGAAACTGTTATGGAGAGGTCTTGCAGACTTCCCTGTTACCAGCCAGGTTGAGGTATTTTGCATGTAACTCTCAACATGTAGGTGGTATTTGAGTGAAGTATTTTGGACTGACCTTTTAAACATCTCTGTGATTACACGTTTGGCAAGGGGATTTTCCCTCCTGTGGTTAAAGAAATGGTGTTCACCAAAAAAAAAAAAAAAAAAGAAAAGAAAAAAAAAAGAAATCTGAATCCAAGTCCTAATTCCTCAAACTGTCTCTATCTAGATTTGGATTCTGTGAAATTTTAACTCTCCCAGTGCTCCCTTTGAAAACACATATGAAATCCTCCATCCCTGGAACAATGACAGGGGACTGGGAACATCTGCACAGGAATGGCTGTAGCGGGCTTGCTGTACAGTACCGCGTGTCAGCTTTACAAATTCCCATTAATCCCATCACCGTGCTGGGTTTCACCCCTCCGAAGACAACCGCCTATGCGGCTCTGCTAGCGAGCCATTCCTGACCTCGTCCTTGTAACCCACAATGTAGACGAGATATCTGTGATGCTGAGAGAATGAAACGCTTCAGTTTTACATGAAAAAGGGGTATTCAGGCTTCTAGGCCCAGGAGTGCAAATTATTAATCACTCCTCACAAGGAATCCGCAGATGGATGTTTAGCACCATTCACCGCGACATAACTGCAAATCAATTAGTTCATTTTGTCCTACCCTGAGGCTGTCTGGCAGACAATAGCAATGTCTTGTGCAAACGCTTTTATAAAGAAGACACAGGGGGAAGGAACCACAAAGGCCATTGGTTCTAACGAGCAATTAGGAAAGTGTGCAGGGCTCGCTTTCTTTTTTTTCCTTCTTCCCCCTTTCTTTCTTCAATTCATTCCGAGGCTCTAATTCTGAAAATGATGCTTTTCTTCCCGACTTCCTGTTTGTCAAATGAAGTGCTAATCAGCGGCTTACAGCTCTCTAGCCAGCAAGGGGAGGATGAGGTAAGAAGGAGTTGGGAAAAGTGGAGAGCTGGGAAACAATGCGGGGGAAACAATGCTCACTTATGCTCTTCAGACCTTCTGGGCAATGGGGGCTGCACACAACTCCCAGGAAAAAATAACCTGCCCTAAAATACTTGGTTATGGTGTTGGGAGGAAGCAAGACTCTTGCTCTGGGGCAGGCGGTGAGTGCTGCCCAGCCGAGTCTGCTACCCCACCAGTAGGTCTGAAACGTCTTGCCCCTATATAATCAGTACAGAAAGGCCTCTGGAGGGGACGTGTTCCCTTTCCAGAGGTGATAAAGAGATGCCACGAGAGGATCCTATCACAGACACCTTGGTGTTTGCCTGAAGTTAGGTGTGGTGAATCCAGGCTTGGCCAAGCTGCCTCCACCTGCAGCCTCTCCCCTTGGAGAAGCTGAATGAGAAGAGCCCCTCAGTGTCTCTGCTGGGGACAGGTCTTGCTCACATGCCACAGGCAACCCCTGGCTCTCTAATAAAGACAGTGCAGAGCAAATACAGTGCTACATCACAGGTTTGCTTTTAGGCTTTCCTAACACTGTCAGATGCACCTGTGTATTAAAGGTGGAATTCCTGCTGGAGAGATGAGCCATCTGATATATGTGTCCAAAGGAGGGCAACGAAGCTTGTGAAGGGCCTAGAAAATAAGTTTTATGAGGAGCAGCTGAGGGGACTGGGGCTGTTTAGCCTAGAGAAAAGGAGGCTCAGGAGAGACCTTATCATGCTCTACAATTGCCTTAAAGGAGGCTACAGCGAGGTGGGGATTGGTCTCTTCTCCCAGGCACCTAGTGATAAGATGAGGGGAAATGGCCTCAAGTTGTGCCAGGATGGTTTAGGTTGGGTATTAGAAGAAATTTCTTTACTGAAAGAGTTGTGTGGCATTGGAATAAGCTGCTCGGGGAAGTCTATTGGGATGGTTGAGTCACCATCCCTGGAGGTCTTCAAGGAATGTGTAGACTTAGAACTTAGTAGCATGGTTTAGTGGGGGACATTAGTAATAGGTCAAAGGTTGGACTAGATGATCTTAGATGACTAGATGACTTTTCCAACCTGAGTGATTCTATGATTCTATGACACTTCCTTCCCAAGAGAGCAGCCTTTAGGATCCACACTCTTTGCCTTTTCCCTCTGTCATAGCACTCACAAACTTCTCCCAACAGCAGACAGCAATTTATACAGGGAGCAAATCTCCCTGATTTCCCATGTCCTTGTTTCTCTCTTCTTTTAGCTTTCATCTGCCTGTACTCCGGTTTTAAGGAACTATGGGGATTGGTGGCAGCCTGTGTAACCACATAAAAATAAACCTTGATTGGGATATTAAAGTGTTATTGCAATATAAAAAGTGACTGGGCACTGCTGATGTACTCTGGGTGCCCAGGAACTAGAATGGATGGAGATGCCTCGTGGTGCTGGGGGATGTCCAGTCACAAGGGTACACAGTAAGATAATTCCTGGGGAAGACCAGAGTTAGTCCTGAAGTCCCAGGATGGACTGAAATATCAGGGCTTGGATACAATTGGTGACACATGGGACAGAATGTCAGGACAAATTTCCTCTGAGGAGATGAGTTGGTGCGGGCCAAATCAATGCATAACATTCAGATGCTGCTTTTTAAGCGTTTTTACACCCACCTAGCATCATGCTAACTTCCTGTGTTTAATAGGATTATTTTATAGATGCTCAGGGTTATATGTGGTGGTTAAAGCTGCATTAAGATTAAGGCTAATGGGTTAGACTACAGATTAAACTGGAATACAGTTCTGGAGCTAAACCCTAATTCAGGATGCTACCTAGGCACATTCTCACCTATAATCATTGCACTGGGCTGAACTGGGTCCTGAAAGATTGAGTGGCCTGAGAGTACAGATCATCCGGCAGTCCTCTCTGCCCTGCTCCTACTAGAGATTGCTGATGCCTGCTATCAGATATCCACAAGCACTGGGTCACAAAAAACCTGCATATTTACTGGTATGCTGCCAATCATATTGTTCCTTTTGTTTTGCATAAGCATTCGTAAGGACGATGGTTGAAATTTCTGTACACAAGCAGTTAAAATCACACAAGCGGTATTTGCATGAAGTTTGAGCAATATATGCAGCCATCTGGAAACTTTATTCCTGAACATTCCCTGCTGGCATCACCTTGCTCTGAAGGTGTACGTGCTCTCCATGTGGCTGTCTAGTTAGTGGGGCTGGTTATTTGAGTTGTGGTTTCTGGACAGATTTCTTAGTACTACCTTTGCTTTTTCCTCTCCCTTCTTTACTTGCTACTGTATGAACTTTGCTGCTTGTCAAGTGACTGCCTGGTGGCTTGTAGGAGATTTGTAGGAAATTTCAATGTCATTCCTCTTGCAGAAATGCCTCCTCTGCAAAATCTGCTTTCACAGTTGTGAGCTGGGAGCATCACTAAAGACAGGTACCAAACTGTGCATCAGCAAGTCCAGGGCTTCAGCTGTCTGAAGCTATGAGCTAAGTGGAATTTGCTATTTTCATGTGATGCCATGTCAGGCTCTGAAACTGTTTATTGTTATTATTTCTTCAGGGACACCATTTATGGCATCTGTCTTTTTGGCTCTTGCAGTGTGAGAATCACATTTCTTAACGCATTTATTCTTGCAATCTCTGTGTCAATTAAGGACATTTTATTTTGCTACTTTACTAGATGAACTGTGAGAAAAGCTTTCAATAACTCTTCTGAATACAGCTGGGCAAATTTTTCTGTGCAGATACTTTGTTTGCCAAAAATACATTTCTGATCAACTGAAGCTGTCTGTTCTCTTGAATCTATTGTGTTAGGGGGTGAAAAAGTTTTTCAAGATTTTGAAAAAGTTAGCTAACCTTATTTCTAAAAAGAGAAAAAAAATAATAAAAAAATAAATCAGAAACCAAAAATACACAGCCAAACAGAACTTTTAGGAGTTTTTTCACCATCCAGCTGAGCCACAGCACTACCTGGTGCTGTAAGGGATGGTCATGTTCACCTATGGCTGCTAAGTCTTGTTGCTTCTTCTGTCTGGTGTTGGTGCTCATTTGACCTCACTGTAAGCTCCCAAATGCTAACTCTACCAAAGCTTCACCACTGCTGCACAGTTTGGTGAAGGTGGAAAGAAGCAGCAAGGGTTAGGCTGCAATAGAACCATCCCTCCCAGTGGCATCTTACAGCTAAACATATCTTCGGTTGCTCTAATGAAATATTTCTTTTTCATATATGCCTGCCTGAAGATAGTTAAAATCTTTATTAAAAATCTCTCCTAAATCACTTCTGAAATCCTTTGTTATCTAGACTCAGGCAGTTCAAGTCCTCTGTCCCTTAGGCACCTAAGTAAGTTTCAGAATTTTTTTTTAAAGTAGCCAGGAGACCTTTGGCACAGCAAGTGCAAGATCTTAAGCAATGATCTTCTAAATTTTGGATTAGTCCCCAGGTCACTGGCCATACTTCTTCCCTTCCAAACTCTCACCATCCATAAACTTAGAAGATCTAAAAAAAAAAAATAAATAGTGCAAGAACACAGGAATAAACATACGCTCACTACATCTCTTATGCATTCCACCCACTTCCTAAACTTTTTTTTTTTTCTTTTCAGAGATGCTTTACAAAAAGGAATGGAGGGTTCCACCTTTATTTTTCTGCTGGTTAAACATTATGTTTCTTTTAACAGGTGGGTATTCATTTCTGTCAATGATCTTTTAAAAGAGATACAGGAATTACCTAAGAAAAAGAAAACCTTTACCTTAGTGAAAGCCACCGAGGTCATACATCCTCAGCCTAACTAACAGGCTTTGCACCAGGTTTGAGTAAATACTGGCTTCAAACTACAATGGCAACAGATCTTACTTCCTTGTCATCAACTCTCTGAGGACAACCATGGTCTGAAATAATGCATGAGGCCTTTTTTGCATAACCCACCTGCAGCAATCCCCCTGGGGACCTGCCACCCTCCTAGAGCCTGGGGATCTATGCTCAGTGCATAGAATTGCTACCAAGTAGTACAGAAAGCAAGTCCTTTACTGTGTGCAGGGTTTTAACTGCCTCCAGTCTTGTGCAAATGAGAAATTATTTAATATCTGATCATGACAAAACATCTATTGCCCCTGACGTTGCTGAGTCACCTATATAAAAGTGTTCCATGGAGGCAGCTGAGTTTCAGGAGGACTTCACCAGCGTCAGGCCATGCTCCTGATGGAGCTGCACTTGCCATGCAGGGTTCAACTCTTGCCCACTGTCCTCATCTGTTAGCTTGGCAGGGTTCTGGGCCTCCCAGGGCCAGAAATTACAGAAGCATGGTGTTCCTGAATTTCACATGGAGTCAGAGCCAGGTCAGCCTTCAGGAGCCACTGCATGTGTCTGAAGCAGAAAGGGTTTTGGATCCTATCAAGTCTTCCCTCAAACTGTTCCCAAACCAAGAATTGTCACAGGACTGAGCAGAGGAAAATAATCTTTTCTTGTGGGGAATTTCAGAAGGTTTAATTTTCATTCTACCTCTGAACTAAAAGCAACTTTTGGAAAAAAAAAATTAAAATGGTTTTTGAAATCATGAGTCCAATTTCTGTATTGCTGAAATGAACAAATTATACCCAAAGAAGGAAGATGAACATTAAAAGAAAAGGAATGGACAAAAGAAAAAAAAGAAGAAAACCAATGAATGAGGCTTCCTTCAATCCTCAGTAAGAAACCTATGACCCAGTTCCCTCCAAGCATCCATGATACTTCTTGGAGAACTGCTCCAGAGACCACATCTGGATGCAAAGCACGAGATTCCCTGGGGGAACATGCATTGGCTTTCCTTTCCTTTGGAAGGAGTCCATGGCATCCCTACGTCCTTGAGGTCTCCCATCTTAGTGGATGTCTACCAGACTTCCCATTCTCCTGGATGCAGCCAAAGCTTGGGGCTCGCTCGCTCTCTTCTCAGTGGGAGAAGGAGGTGGGGAAGTGTGAAGGAGGTCTGAGGGAGGTGGGAAAGTGTGAAGGAGGTCTGCCTGGATGAGAGTGCATGGTCTTCACCCCTTTTACCACCCTGAAGAGCTCCGATGACTCTGCACCTCCTGCTCGGCTCCAGCAGCCTGCTCTCTCCTTGGTCAGGCTTGCTTCTCCAGTCTCCTGTTTGGCAAATAAATGGCTTGCATTCAGGCACAGTCAGTATTAGTTAATCAGCACGTTTAATACATTAGCATGCACATATTTATCTACATCCACTGAGCTTTGTAAGCTGCAACTCTTGTAGCTCAGTCTAGAAAATTAGTTTCACAGCTGCAGCGGGTAGCTGTTCATTTATTTACAGTCCTCCGAGACCTCACTGAATGCAATGGCACAAAACAAAATGAGGCCTCTAATCCAAAAGCCAGGAAGCTTAAGCACCTGTAGAAACAGTTTTGCATTCCAAGGGGCAAATTATCTCTAATCTTGTTAAATGACTGCACTGCGAAACAATTGCAAAATGCTTTCTTCGATGGCCCATAACCAAACACGAGGGGTCCATTACTACTCCGTGTGAGGGGGAGCCAGTAATCCTATAGGAGGACACAGCTGATCGCAAAACAAGGGCTGCAGTCAAAAATAAAGAAGAAACAAAATAAAGCTTGAACTGTTTGAGAACGGATGCTTCCAATTTTCTAAATTACAATAGCAACTTGTTGCCAAGCAATTACAGTGTTTCATCTGTTTTTTCCTGCTTTGCCCCCCACCTCATTTGTTTTTCTTCAGCAGATGCTGTTTCTGAACTTTGTCATTCATGTCCCTTTCTCCGCCCCCTCTAATTTACAATTGATAATGAGCCACCACCCAGACACTGCCACCAAAAAAAAAAAAAAAAAGGAAAAGTGAGACGTCTTTGTGCTCATTCCCACCCTGACCTGGCAAAAGCACCTTTGCCAGTCATTTTAAATTGCTGCTTTACAAAACAGGCAGCTGGATTTTTATTTCACTGGACAGTGCAGGACAGATGCTGCACATAACTTTGACAAACTACCTATAACTATTCATTGTACCAGTGAAAAGAAGACTGAGAAAATAGTAATTGTGTTCTATGAAACACCAGTGCTGATTAAAGTCTGTGAATATCCTACAAATTAAAATAAGTGCTCAATTCAAATAGTGCTTGCTGGAGTGCTGGAGCCAGAAACTCAGTGGTATGCTGCTCTCTGTGAGGATGGGCTTGGTTTTTGTGATGGTGCAGTCAGCATGGACAGCTCGAGTAAATTCAGAGCCAGAGAGGGTGTGCTGGCATGTGCTCAGCCTGGTGAGGGGGAACAGCCCCTGGGGATACCCTGCCGGGATACAGCCCTCCCATCTGCAGGTTTGGAGCCAGACGTTTAAACTCAGATATGCCATAGCACTGAAATCAGAAAATCAGATTTTCAAGTTTCCTTCCCCCCAAAAAAACATTTCCCCACTCTCTGCAGATAATGTTTCCTATAAAGCTTGACTTTTTCTGCCACAGCTAGAGGAGGTTGGCCATAAAGACCAGCTTTACAGCACGCATTTCCCAGGGAGGCAGGCACCTGCTGGGCACAGCTCGTGCTGCCATGAGGGTGTGGTGTGAGCAGGGGTCTGTAACTCAGCACCTTCTCCAAGCCCTGTGATGTTGTGGCAGGGGCACAGCATTCCCCATCACCCACAAGGCTGTGTTGGACCCCCTGCACACTTGGTGTGGGGGGGACAAGGACCCACCTGCAGCTGGCAGTGGGAAAGCCACAGGCTGCACATCTCCCTCTGGTCTTCCCCACCTAAGCAGGCAGATGGCAAGCTTTGGGGCAGTGCCTTCTCCTACTCTATTAAATTCATCAGCATCCTTTTGCCAAAGTGTCCACACCTACAAAAAATACAGGAACTCATGCACAAGGGCTCACCACTACCCCAGAGAAAAGGTATTGCCAGTTAGAGGCACTCATCTCTGGTCAGGGCCACACTGCCTGGAAGGAGATGTCAGTGACTATCACACCCTGCTAAAGGTCCGTAATGGGTACAATGTGGGTAGATGTGACTCCTGATCTAGCTGTCTCTGCTCTTACAAACTGAGAATCTACTCCTCTTTGTGGCTGCTAGAATATCTTGCCTCAAAGACACATTTCTCAGGGTTTTGATTCATTGTTTTTTTCATTACTCACCCAATGCAGGAGCATACAGGTGAAACTATATGGACAGTGGTGAAATTGGTGAGCTAAATGAGGGTAATGGTGCTCATGTCCCTTGGGACTGGCTTCGCTGAGCTGGTGGCCCTGAAATCAATGAATTGATCTACATCAGCTGGGGTTTGAACCGACGAGCAGCCAGACATTACATACTCAAAGTATTAGCCTCCAAACTGGTGATGAGCAGAGGCACAAGGCCTTTTTGGCCAGCTGGTGGATGTTGGAGGCACCAGCAATGTCTGGGGGTGGGCATCGGCACGAGATGGAGAAGCCAAGCAGAGGACAGACAAGAGGAGAGGAAGCGATCCCATCCAGCACATCTGCTGAGCAGCACTTGAACTCACTTTCAGTTTTCAAGCATGCCAAATTTATACACACACACCCCACACAGCTGACTGTGTTTTAAGCCCATCCTTGCTTTAAGTGGAATTATGAGGTCGGTTTTAACCCCATATGGCCTCAAAGCCTCTGGCTAGCTCCTGTATCCCTTATCTCCTGTTCTGGGACTCTACTTTTATGTAAGGTTGAGATTTCTATGTCAAGTTCAAGAATGGAATAAACTGTCTGTACAGGCATAGCTGAGGCAGACACTAGCTATTAAAACTTGATTTCTGACCCTCCACAGACTCCCAAGGCCTTCAGACTGGTTCTATCGGTCCTTCTACTTCCCTCCTCCCCTCTTTTCCGCCTCTCCTCATGTTATTCATGGTTTTCTTAAAGGACCTGAGAGCTAATAGATCACTTCAAAATGAATGCAATTGCTCCCCAGCAGTGAGATGCTGTGTTTCCTCTACACCACATCTATGCACTGTTCCACTAGATAAACAGCACCAAATGTCACCTCCGAATCACATCCTGCTTTCATTCTCTCCCCTTGCATTCGAGGCTCGAGCTTTGTGTGAGAGTGATTCACTTTCTCACTGAATGCAGAGTGAAAGCCCATTTTCAGCACTCTCCCAACACCCATGCACAACCAGCTATTCATTTCCAATGATCATTTGTATTTCTTTTGGAAGACCTTAAACACCACAGGGTATAAAAGGAAAACCATTCAAGTGAAAAGAAGATTGGCAAAGATAATACATTACCCTGCTGTCAGTGCTTAGCTAAAGATGAATAAATATTAATACTTTTTTCTTGCCTGGTTTTCTAATGTGCTTGGGATTTCCATGTGCCTCTGTGGGTGTGTATGCATGTGTGTGTTTGCTGTTTTTCCTAAATAACTACTCAGCCACTCAGCCACATAGTCAGTTCTAACTTTTTTTTTTACCCTTGTTATTTATTTTTTTCTTTTTTTGAGAATCTCAGGATATGAAACCCCTCCAAGTTGTTTGAAAACTGTTGTTTGAGTAGAGGAGATAGCAATGACAAGAAAGATGCACTGTGAGCAGAGCCCTTATAGACACTGGAAACTCTGCACGGTAACTCATCCCGCAAATACCAAACACAAAACCCAGAATTAAGTTACCTAGAGACCAGATATCTGCTGTTCAAGGAACATTTCTCATAACACTATACCTGTGGCTCCAACCCAAACCCTTAGGTATGAGTAGCATGCTACTTTGCTGCTCAAGCTATGTGGATGAAACCAGCTTTTAATTCCAAAAGCTACAATGCAATCCCTGGTTCCCTCAATTACCAGAAGGAGGAAGTGAGCTTGGCCAGTTATCCCCATATGGCAGACACATTACAGGGAAAAGCAAAGCTCTCCACGCTTATTCTCCATGTATGTAACAGGGGGCAAGGTTGCTTATTCATACAGGCACTGAAGGCCAACTTCTAGTAGGTCCTGAAGTATATTTTTGCTGGATCTAGAATAAGGATATTTCACAACAATTGCATCAGCCGAGGAGGAGTGACACCATGATAAACACAAAATGCTTGGTGAGGTTAACTTGCCCTGCAGAAATTTTGTCATAGTAGGAACCATAATCAAGGGAGTTTTTAACAGACGGCTGAGCATGGATAGCTATTTTTAATTAATAACAGGAATGATGAGGACCACTGAAGCAGAAATAGAAGTGACCCAAAGAAGTGGTGATATAGTGAACGCAGAAGATGCTGGATGTATCTTAGTTCAGAAATAGTGGGGCTTTTGTGCATGCTATTTGTCTTCCTGAAAAAGGGGGACATATAAAATCTAGGGTATCAATAAAGAGAAAGAACATTGATGTTCTGGAGGGGAGCTAAAAGCTTGCTGGAGATGCATGGAGCCCCCACAGACAGAGTGGGTCCAGAGGCTAGCAGAGGAGCAACAGGACTGGGGAAGAGGTCCATTGCATTGCAGGAAGGGGAGAAGAAACCAACAGGAAAAAGAAGAACACGACAAAAAACAAACAAACAAAAAAAGAAATGGAGCTATCCAGGAGCTACCCTGGAGGCTACCCAAGAAGTTGCAAAGATGGAAGAAGATAAAAAGCAGTGGAGAAAGAGCAGATGATTATTCATTCATCTGGTTGTCTGCAGGCAGGAGAAATAGCAACACTGACTCATACCAGTCCCAGAAATGCAGGAGATGGGAAAGTCCCAAGAAGGTTTTACTGACTTGTCATTAGAAAGGGACTAGAGAGAGTAGGGAATATAATGAGGATGGGGAAGCTAAAGTGAATCCCTAAAGGACATGAGGAGGAATCAAGGATACTTATGCCCATTTAGAAGAGACATTTAAAGAAATGATTCTTGGATGATTCTTTCAGCACTTAAAAAATGTAAGTGAAGTCATTACATGGAGGTCAACAAGTGCCTCAACTCATTAGAAAAGATGGTTATGAGACATTTGGTTATGGGGAATTACTAATGAAAAAGAAACTCAGTGGACTGATTTCACCCCAGTAAAGAGAATGATATTGTAGGATTAAATCCAGAATGTATGAAGCTCTCATGAGAAATTCAAAATGAGAAATGAGGAAGGAAGTTTGGGAGACATCTGTGTAAACTTCACACCTGGAATGAGCACAGAGGAAGAAGAGATTCAGTGCATTAGGGAAAAAATGGTGCATACTGGGATGTGAGATGGTAGAACAGTTTCTGTGGAAAGGAAATTTATTGCTGCAAACAATAATCAAATAGGTAATTTGATAATAAATAGACATTGCTTAATGCAGATAGAAAGCCAACATTGGCCAATAAAAAACATTGAAACATTTTTCTGCTAATTAAAGAGGCATTAGCAATGTAATAGAAGAACTTGACTACCAATGCAGGATGTAGGACAGGATATTATAAGGATAACAGAAATATGGTAGAATAGCCATTGTATCTGGAACATGGGAAATGAGGGATAGATGTTGTTCAGAAGAGACAGAAACAAAGACTGGTGGGAGATGTGTGCTCTACAGTTACATTGGAAGAGGCTTAGAACAAATATAAGCTGATTTTGATTTCTGTGGGAAGAGCAAAACACATTTGGGTTAAACTGACATAGGGTAAGCTGGCTAAAGACATTCAAGCTAAGTTATACAAAGAATCCCCTATAGGTTCCCAGGCTGGACTGTAGGTAGCTAATGATTTCTTATATAGAGAGCAATATATACAAGTGAGAACTGTGTCATGAGAAGCTTAAATTTTGGACATCGTACTGGAAAACAAATACTACCAAGAAAGGTCAAGCCCAGGCAGTCATGGGTATGAGCTGACACATCCACTGATTAGTTACAGAACAAATATGAGATTATGAGATTTTTGTTTTTGTAGACTGCAAGATTTTGAGAAGAGATTATATGTGTGATCATGAGTTGAATCAATTTAAATGAAAGTATTATAGAAGGAATCTGCAATTCAGGTTCAAAGGGTCATATTTAAAGAAATTGGAGGAATTAGCTATAAAATTAATGAGTTTGAAGAGCTCTAGGTTTGCTGTGTGTAAGATGTACAGAATACCTTTCAGGCTAGAATGGAACAGCACCTCTGCTCTTGTGCCCTGCTCAGAATAGGGACCAGTATCGTGGAGAAAGCTCTGGACTGAACCAAGAGTAAGTCCCACTTCAATCAGGATACTTGGAGTAAGCAGAAGGAAGGGTTATGGAAAGTGAAAACAGACCTCACCAGCAAAAGAAATCATGTCTTAGAGGTCAGAAAGCACAGAGGGCTTATGAGAACCACCAACCGTCAAGCTGAGTTAAACCTTGTTAAGGAAATTAAAATCAAAAGCAGAAGGTTTTTGAGCTATAGGAATAAGGGAGAACAACTCAGTGAAAGCAAAGAGATTGAAAATGCGGCACCAAAACTGAACAAATGCTTTGCCTCAGGGTATGGTTCTGTGATATGGGGCAAGATGGCTTAAGAGATAACTTACCTCTGCCAGCAAGCAGAGGCCCTGCCATGCTTTCACATCACCCCACGTTAGTCAATTAATCTTGTGCCAAGTCTTGTGCCAGCTCCTTCACTCACCAGAAAACCACCCCAGCAAACCATGGGGCTGCCATTTTAGCATGTTGATTCAGCTCAGGAAACTGCTCTGCAAGTACCCAAGTTGGTGCAAGGGATGAGTGGGAACATGCAAGAGAGGAGAGAGGCAGGATCTTCCCCTTGCAGCTGGTGGTGGAGTGGCTCAGCTGCTCATGAAAGCACCACCCTTATTTTGATTAAGGGCATGGGTGAATTTGCAAGTGAAAGCAAATGAGGATGAAGCTATAGAAAAGGGAACGACCACATAGGAGGAGGAAGGGAGGCTTGGGGACAGATAGTCTCTGTCCCCAAAATCTGGAAGAAGAAGCATGTGAATTGGCTAGTCCAGCAGCAATGATGCATTCATTCAGTCATGGGTAGTTCATGTAACTGGAAAATAGGATTTGGTCTCCACAGTTAAGTAAGAAAAGCAGGGAGAGAACAAGATGTTCTGGGCAACTACAGAGCCATTAGTTTGACCTCAATGTTATACAAGGCTTTAAAATAATTTTTTGAAGGAAGAAAAACTGAAAACATGGAAGTTAATAGAAAAAGGAATAAAAGGCAACCATTTTATCACAAGTATGTTGTATCCTTTTTGCCTACTGTGTGAGCTGATCCTCTTTATTCAGCCCTGACACAGAAGCCAGGAATTGGCTGGTTTTCTTCCGTCAGGATTGTTCTATTCATTGGCCAGTCACCAAAAAAAAAAAAAAATCCCATTTCAATAGCCTTGGGAAATGGATGTTCAGCAACATTCACTGTAGCTTGCTTGGTTTCTAAGGGCCTTACAAGCAGTGGGCACAACAAATCGATATCGCTGGGCAGTGGTATGGCGGTGCTGCATGTGTGCTGTCAATACGCCTTGCAGCAGGACGCCTGCACACTTTTGCAGAGCAAAATCTCATCCTATCACTGCCATGGCTTTCAAAATGTCCTTCAAAATACACCAGAGCCCTCCTAATACCATCTATAATTCTGTGTTCTTTCCTGGGCTCCCCTCAGCTCTTTATTACTATTTTTGAAGGATTTTTCTCAGAAAGGTCTTTATACTCTGCAGGAACTGCTGAATTGGAATGGGAAGCAGGGTTTCTCCTCATTGTAAGGTAGGCAGGGCTGCCTTCCAGTTTCCCAGCTGCAGAGATTTATAGCCGCGACCAGATTCACTAGGTGGCCAAGGTTTTATAACCCAATTGAATAGCATAAAACAATTTAGACTGAAGGCAATTGATGCAGGGCTCAATGACTTTCAGGAACTTGATGTATTACTATGATCATGTACGTTACAAATTATATATATATGTATATGTTTGACAAATAGTCTTCAAAAACAATGTAATTATTGGGAATGATTTAATTAGGGCGGACGTGCATGTAGAGCATCCCTGGAAATGAAGTAAAAAGCCTTGAAGTATACAAAGGATTTTCAATCTGTGTTAAATTCTGCTCTGAAGAGAGGGGTTTGATATCCTTCCCAAGGCTTCAGACTCCCTCCTATATGAATTCCCTTTGAGCATCTCCTGGGTCAAGCACATCCAGTCCATTCCTGGCCCATCTTATGCTCAAAAGTGGCATTGCCTCAGAGACACCTACTCTAACACGCTTGGCCAAACATTAGAGAGACCAATGTGCTCAGGACAGCTGGCTACCCCAGCAGCAATTGGAAAGAAGCAATAGGACATCTGAATGCTCCTCTTCCAAGGGGTGTGCTTGAGGTAAGTGAGTTGGAGAAGCCACTTTTCTGAAATCAGACAGCAGTCCTTTTCCACAGCAACAGAAATTAAATGTTCCTCTGGTTCATGATGGTGTGGAGAACTTGCAAAAGGCTAAAAGGGAATTGGTATACATTCTGCACAGCATCATATATGCCTCCCTGACCTTTAAATTGGACAAACTGCCTGAAGGACTTATGTTCAGATGAGTAAGACAAGTTGTATTCACTCTCTTTACTTGAGCTACAAAAGTATGCGAAGTTAATGTGAGTCTAAATCCAAACAATAGCTTGCTGCAACTTTGTTTGCACTCTCAAGATGTGAATTTTCAAGGATGCTCCAGATTTTTTGTTGCTGTTGCTCCATCTGCCTGCTATTATTTAATGGTCTTTGTGGAAATAATGGGCTGCAGGCTGTGATACCAGTGCATTTTGGAAGCCTGTGTGTTTGCTTGTGCTAAACATTGGCAGGTTGCAATTATCCTGTGAATCTGAATCAAAAGAAAGCTTGTGGTGTGCTCTGTCAATGAAATCAAAAGCACGACATGTCTGTAGCTAAAATGAACCACTGAGACTTTTCTGAGTTAAGTTCATGCAAACAAAGCTTACACACATTGCCAGGGTCTGTTTTTCAGGTAGTTTTGTTATGGGAATGGGTATTAGTCCTGCTGCCCTCATAGGGTGGTGTTTTCCAGGATGTGCTATGAGTCTCTTTCCCACTAGCTTGTGCTGGGGAAGCTTTTGCATTGGCAGGAGGAAAATATATGTCCTTTTGCTGCAGGAATAGAGACATTCGGAGTGCCTGTGAATGTTCGGTGTAGTGGTAGAAAGTCTGGGTCTCCAACAGGCTTGCTACTGCAAAGTCATTTGGTGAGAGGAGGAAGAGAAGAGTCTGGCATCTGAGCTCAATCAAATTGAAACAAAGATTAAAATTAGAGATCAAAAGCTGGGAATGACAAGGAAATATCTCAACAGGAATCTTATCTCCAAGACCAGGATGTCTTTTGGAACAAAAATGGCTGCTAATGACTTCTCTCCATACAACCAAACGCGTTGGCTGCTCCCACCCAGATGCCTGCCGCTTACGCTTCCCCGCAGTTTTCATTTGCTTTATTGCTTTCAGATGCTGCCGGGTCTGAGTTCCTCTGGTAGCTGTGTCATTGCCACCAGCACTGGGGAATGCGGCTTCGGCTGACTGGGCTGCGAGGCGTCAGCGCTGCCTCTCCAGGGACTGTCTGACACTAAGGCAGAGCAGCCTAACTGCAGCCAGATAATTAAAAACGATCGATGCTATTAAGTAAACGTAAGCCCCGACAGCTCCGGGTGTATTCTCATATCATTGGGCATACTCAGGCATTGAGAGAGGAAGCTAGAATGGAGCAAATGGTGGGAGCAGCACCTACAAGGAGAGTTTCTGCTGTTGTGTGCACTGCTGCAGATCGAAAAGGACCTTTTGGTTAACCCTTTTGATTTAGTGGTGCAAGCTAGCTAAAGCTCTGCATATCTTCGTTCTGGTTTGAAACACTCCTCCACATTCATTCTGCTCCTGCCCATGCTCCTCAGAAATCTTTCCAGGGAAAACAGTCCTGGATTTATTTACAGCACATCATTATTTATTTAAAGAAACCCTTTTTAGGGAGAAAGCAAAAAAGAGATCTGAGCTCTCCATTGAGGACTTCAGAATGAGCCCTGTGCTTCCGAGGTAGGGGCATTTTAATTTAAGGGTTTACAGGGGAAGAAGAATGTGAACCCAGGGTGGGAGCCTGCTTCCCTCGATATATTCCATGTGCTGTGTAGAGCAAAATCTAGGAAGACCCCACAGGGAACTGTGAGCAAACTCTCTGCTTGGCAGTTCTCCCACCTTGAAAGCAAAACTGGTTTGCTATCTATTTATATGTTTGTTTATTTTGTTCTCCAGAGTTTCCTCAGGTTACTTATTTTGTTTACAAATCCCCCTACACATGCACATGTTCCCTTGCTTTTTTTTTTTTCCCTACCTTAGCTGAGACATGCCAGTGAGTTAAAAAAAGACCTTTTGATACCCTGGGATATCCAATGGGAAGTGTTTTGTGATGAGCAATTTAAGGCTTAAGTGAAGTGAGAAAAGTGGGGAGGATACCTGGTTTTTGTTTTACTCCCCCTCTCTTTTTTTTTTTTTTTTTTTTTTTTCTTTTTCTTTTTTTTACATTTGCAGTTATCTAAAGACAAAACTCAGTGAAAGACTGCCCTTGTCCCCAAATGGCTTCTGAAACTGAAACCACAGAGAAGAATGCATGCACTGGAGAAAGCCAATGCCTGAAAGCTCAATAGTAACATCACTTGGTTAGCAGTGGTTCATCGCCTTTCCCCATACAAGTTATTTATTTTTAATTCGTCACAGCAGTACTTTGAAGACTCATCTATTGACTGGTGGTTTAAGCCATGGTTTTCAACCTACAAGTCAATACAACCCTCTGGACTTGTGAGTTGCTCATTAAGGACTTGTGAGAATGAAAGTCAAGAGGCATGTTTCTCTCAGGGTCTGCACCTCCCTGAGCAAAAGCACAGGGATCTGGAAATCAAAATGCTTGGTTACCTCTATAGCAAGGTGCAACTCTGCAAGGTCATCTGCACTGAAACTGGGGAGAGACCCTAGGACTGACAGACCCCTACTAGATTGCATTTGTGATGTTTGCCATCTCTGACCTCCTGCAAGAGGCCGTTCCTGTCCTGAGGAATTTTACCCACCCGCCCAGTCAACCCTGGAGCATTAAATGTGTAGAGTCGTTACTGGATGCACACTCTCAATTCCCAGTGCAAGAAGTTTATTGCTTATGACAGCAAGGTTAAAGCCAAACAAGCATGCTGATTGATTTCTGCCCAAGAGAAGGCTGAGTTTCAAGAATGCTGTTTACACAAAGGGCTTGATTCTGATCTACCATCAGGCTAATTTTCGTTTATATCAATATAAGAGAGATCTGAATGAGGCCTTTGGCTTGCAAAATATTTTAGGGCTCTTTGGGGAGAGGCAGCTTTGTGAAAACAGAGATTACAAAGAGAACAATCACAGTTCTTAATTCAAAGGAAAACCATGGGAAGATGTGCCTTTGATGCTAATCTTCTGAAGTGCCTGACACTGCCAGGGAGATGCAGACTGCATCTTCCCTGCCAGCATTTCAGTATGCCCTGGCTAAACCTTAGCTGTTGACATTCATGGAGCAAACTGATGGTTAGTGGGGCTGCCCAAAATTTGCACCAGCAGAGTCTGGCTCAACCTTGTTTTTGCTGGTATAGTATCAGTCCTTTAATTCCTAGTTTAGTTTTGTCTGTGAATGCCTGAAGATTTTTTTTTTTTAGAATACCTGAAATTTTCAACCACTTTAACTCAGCAGTCCCCTATGGTAACTGAGCATTTTCAGGTGCAAAAACTTTTGAAAAGAATAGAAAGACAGAGCAGGAGTGGAAAATTTTTACAACTTTCTCACAATTCACTGCCCACTGGAGTCAAATATACCATACTGATAGACAGTTCCATTAAAGTATCCAGGTGTACCTGGCTGTGGATAGGATTTATAAGAGCATTCAGGTAGGCTGTGTGCCTGTTTGCTTTTTGTGCTGTCTAGGGCTCTGAGACCTGCAAGTCCCATTGTCATGAATTTCATACACATTATGATATTCAATGTAGCATGTGTAATCATCCTAGAATAAGAATCTGGCCTACTTTTTTTCTTATTTTTTTTTAAATCATTGCTACAAAAGGTCTTGGCCCTGAACTGCCTGCTGAACAACATGCCATGATCAAAGGCAAAAGAGGGCTTTGAATCTGTCTGTGGTTTGTGGGAGAGCTATTGGGGAAAACCTCTAGGAGAGCAATAGCAAAATTATCACGATAATGAGTATGGGTTGAGGATGCATGATGTTTTCAGGAGAGCCAGATTGAAACCCACAAATCAAAGAGAACTTTAGAGTGGCCAAAAATTCAGGAAGATTCATGATTTTTTTAAGACATAATCCCCTCACTCCACTTCTACAAGGTAGCTTGATTTATTACCTCTGGCCTTAACACTGAATCTGCAGTAATGGAAGTCTTTAAAAACAGCTTGGATAAACAAATATTAGGCTGATATTATGTAGGACTGATCCTCTCTTGGGAACGACCTATGTAAGTTTTTGAATTCCCTTCCAGACATAATCATGGCAGTCCTATTTTATCCAAATTATTAAAGTCTACCTGAAAAGTTTATTTATTTTTTTTTTAATAAAGAAGACAAAATCCAGAAGTCACTGCAGTAAATAGGCAAACAGCTCATTTTATCATTGGAAGTCACTTGTCCTAAGGAACTGACAATCATTGGTCCAGATCTGTAGTGGGTCTTCAGTACATCTATCTCCATCAAGTCTGTCTCAATGAAGTTCACTTACATCAGCTCAGAATCTGGTTTATCTTCTGTTTCTAACCTGACTAGTAAAACCTGTCCTTCAACAGCTCTATCACGCAAAATCTATTCATTTAATGTTTCTCTCTTGGAATGAGAAAGGAGAAGAGAAGATCCTACGTTTACAGAACAAAGCTTAACACCATGTCTAATAAAGGTTCAAGCCTAGGAAAGAGTTGTCTTAATTTTAATAATAAACCTAACGACTAAGCTTAAATTATCAGCTTCTGATATTTCCACTTAATAGACCTATAGAGTCCCACTGGAATCAGTAGAGGAACTGCAAGGCATGACCCAGTGGAAATATAGCATCAAGAGCTTGTATCTTTAAAAATGTCTTTAAAGTCACTTTTCTAATGCAGCCCTTTAGAAACTGGCTACATTCCTCACAGAAACAGAGTACACCCCTACCATGAAAACTACAGTAAATAACAAAATTGATTTTACGTTCTTCCCTCTATTCCAGTGTATTAGGAGGCACTTAGTCCTCAGAATTAAATTAGAGATAAGTGCTTAACACAGTTACGATTCAGAGCTATATCAGAGGGAGGCTGCAGGCAGAGGGAAAAGCGTATTTGCTGCTCAGCTTCATGGGTGTGAACCAGGACTACTACTGGGGTTTGAAGAAGTTGAGATTCTGGGAGGACAAGCTGGACACTTATTTTCAAAGTAAAGTTGTTGAAATTGGGTGGGAACATCTTCCTTTTTTTCCGTGGGACTGTGGCTCGTGTCCAAGGACAGAGAAGTTGTAGCTTTAGTTAGCACATTCTTTCCATGCAAATTCCGTGCAATTTTACACCATTGTTTCCAGCCAGTATGGTCAATGGTCTTTCTGATTCCTCTTTGTGAGCAATATTTCAGTTGTCACTGGGGGCCTGATGCCATCAGGACAGCCTGCAGTACCAAGATCTTCAAGTGAAAATAAAACTGTCAAGCTCATCTGGTCTTCTCTAATGGATATAAATGAATTCAGCAATGCATGCCAAGCTTTTTACGAACTGTATGGTGTTATAAAAAACATGCTGCCAATGAGGTTAGAAACCCCATCCTTTATGCCTTGTGGTTTAGGATATATATACTGTACTGGAACGCTAGAAATAGCAAGATGTGTTAGTTTAGGCAGTTCAATAAGAATGTCTAGGTTTATGAATTGGCTTAATTTGACTTCTTCTCAAGCAACATAAGTTCTCTCTGTCTTGAATTGTTCTTTTTTGGTGGTTTAGATACCACTACTATTACTGGCTCCTGGATGACTGCATTCTTGACAAAGTTTGCCATGAGGTCACGATTTCCTGACATCTTGATGATTATGAAGTGACTGCATAGAGAATTTGCTGCCATCTCATCACATGACATATTTTCCAGCTTTCCTATGTTTCCACCAAATAGGTACAGTGTGAAGCCACCTGATAAAAATATCTAGGCAACTGGAACAATGGAGAACCCAACACAAAGAGCCATATCACACTATAAATGGGCTTGTTCCTGCTGGTGATGGTCCATCATGTTTGGACCTCACCTTCAGTTTGTCTTTTGCCCTGTTTTCTGTTTGTATGTTTATAGTAGCATCTGCATTAGCTAGAATCTGTTTTTTGTCTTCAGTCGTTATTCTGAAAAAGTTCCAGGTAGGTTGAGACTGGGAAAGACCTGCAAAGCTGCTCAGATTTGTGGATCTCAAAGAGTGCATGGATGTGGAATGTAGTACATTTACTATCCCATCTCCCAGGCTTTGAGCAGTACCGTTTTTCTAAGGTTTCAGGACTGGGGCATTATTTCCATGCTGGTGTGTTAGGTGCTAAGACCTCCGAATCAGACAGGATCTCTAGGATTCACCAAAGTTAAAAAGACCAATCAAGACTTTGGTAATATCACTGTGATTTAACATAAAAACAATACAAAACAAAGCAGGCACCCTCTTTTGTGTAAATATTAATCATTAGACATGAAACTCACAAACTTGAGAATTTTGTCTTTTGTCTTAAATTTCAAAGCAGGTGCCTTCTTGCCAGAGCCTTAGATAATTGTAGCAGTTTGGTTTCAGCCCTGAATCTTAACTTTTGCTTCATGTTTGTGCTGAATGACATGGAATTACTCATTTTCTACTGGTTTAGTAAGCTCCAGTGTTCTGGGAAAGAGTTATGCTACATCACATGAATTTACTAATACCTTCCAACTCTTTTTTAAACCTTGTTTCTACACCTAAATGTATTTAAACTCCACTGAAGGAGGGGACTGCTATTCATCTCTCCAGTTTCTACCTGCTAAGAGTCCCTTTGCCCCATAAGAAGGACTTTACGTGGTCTGCTGTCTGTAACATATGCACATTGTGGAAGAGGATCAATGATGCCATAGGGCCCAGCCATGAACTGCCTTCTGACACTGCACACAATCCAGATTGCCTCCTCAAGGGACTGTTCACACTGTCTGTTGTCCTCCTATAAATTTAGGTGCCTGAGTGAATAGGCTGAGCTCCTTAGTCTTCATCTTCTGCCACAGGAGAGGAAAGGCTCTTCCAGAGAGTGTTTTAAAGCAACTGATACAGGCTACCCCTTTGAAGGAACCTCCAGAGAACCCAGTTTATCTCCTCTGGCTTTGGAGGGTTTTAGGAAGACCAATACTTAGCTGCATCTTGCCAAATTTTAGCCTGCCTGAGGCACTTAAATCTTCCCTTCCTCTAAATATTGCCTCATCCACTGGAGGTGTCTGTGTGTCTATTAGCTAGTGAAAATAACTATACCCACACCTTATGCACATTGGTTCACATATCCGAAGTGAGAAAGATCAAGTTTAATTGATGACCAAAAAAGATGAGTTAAATCCTCTCCTGTTTTATGTCTGCTACAGGGACAGTCACAGTGTGTATTGCACTCCCTGGGGGAAAAGAAGAGCCTATGCAGTATACTACATTACTGTGCAGTGTGGACATGTGGTCTGGGTGTCCCAAATAAGCTGTTAGCTCCCTCAGTCCAACTTGATTTCACTGCAAAATTATGACTGCTCAGCTAGTCATACACTCCTGGCTATATTTGCTGGCTGCCCATCATCTGATGCTGGAAAATGCTATTCTGGCCTCTCAGCAAGTCTGATGAATGTTGTATTTAGTGACAAAATTTTGGTTTCCAGCTTCCACAGACTTGAACACTGAAATGTTACCATAAAATAGAGCCTGTAGATAACTTGTTGAGAAGTTTGAAAGCCACATTTGTGCTAAAGTGGGTAGATTATAACTTTTCTGAGGAAACAGCTTGTCTGTAGCCTGACAAGGACACCGGACTCTTATCTTTATGTAACCAAAGAGATGGTAGTCACCACCATGGCAGCTGCTATGAAACAGGCAACCAACAATAAGGGACAAGCTATATGAAGAGCTACTACCTTTGGTATATGGACACCAGCAACTGAAGATCATATACATTCTCCCACCCGTGTTAGTGGTGCCCATCCCATTAGGTTGGACTTCCTGTGCAGAAACAGGTTCATGTGCTCATCAAGAAAGATGTAAAGTGCCTAGTGCTTGTCTGGTTCTTGCTAAAGCATCAAATGGATTATAAGCATCACCTTTGTTTCTTGACATGTTGTAGCTCCTGCAATCTTCCATGACACTGCTAAGAGATGTTTCTATTTATATCCTAACAAGATGCTTACATGTTGTATTTTTTTTTTCCTCTCCACCACATCTATTTCAGAATAAGAACCTCTGTTTCCAGAAAGCATCACAAACTTCTTGATCATCAATGTAATTTAAATGATTAACAAAAATATCAGTAAGTAGTAATATAGAAAATGCATCTCAAAAGATATGGAGCTGATTTGATGAGACCACAAAATACTGTCACCTTATAATTAGTTTACTCAGCTAAAATCTCTGCTCTCTGAAACTCAGAGTCACCTGATTTAAATTACCAATGTGGAAAGGTCCCTAGCACTTGCTGGGGAAGAGACTTTGAGATAATGCTTTCTCATCATTCAGTTTAAAGCATGGAGAGAGGAAGAGAAAAGCGATGGACACCAGTGTAAATCTTTCTTCCACCTGAGAACCATCTGAGTCACCAAGTCCCCCTTCCTTGGTTTTGCAGGTGATCTTGCAATATACAGTGGGTCCAAAAGGTGCATAACAACATATACCAAACAATGCCAGAGCTTCAGCATTGGTGATTTTGGAGCAATGACACAATGCAGGAGCACAAGAAGAAAGATGTCCTGAGCCCTGGCAATATCAGAGAATTTCCTAAATAAAAATACATGGATGCAGCTAGGAAAGCCTCAATCCTCTACCCTGTAAAGAACGTCAAGGAATTACTCTTGGACCCAACACCTGGCAGTGAGTTTAACCCAGCGTATGCAATCCTCAGAGGTGGTTTGGTAAAGATAGACATTCTCAGTGTCCCATATCCAGCTGCAACCCAGCTCTTAATCTTCAGAGGAAGGAGAAAGAAAGACAAAAAGATCAGCCTAAAAGCCAGCTAATGTCTCAATGGGGGACCATCTACATCCTTGTTATTAAAATATTACATAGTTTTAATACATGGACAATATTTTTAATATTTTGCTTCATTTCCTGAGGAAATGAGGATTATGCAGCTGTGCTGTAGTTGTTTGTTTGTCTGTCAGGTTTTCCCCCTGCTTAATAATTATGGAGACTGTTAGCTTATTTCAGTGCATTTTGATGGAAGAGGAAAGGCATCACAATATTGTGGCTTAAAATATTCAGGAAAATTACCTGTGGGGTACAAGACAGAGACTGGTGGGAAAGGTCACAGTGCGAGCTCAGCATAGTTATTAGACATGAGAGAATCCACATGGAAAGGAGCCACAAGAAGCCCAAGAAATATTCCCTAAGTCCCAGTGTTTAAGGAACAGCTTGTTAATGCACTTTTTTTCCAACCCTACTAGAATTCTAATCAAGCTGGCCCATTCCCTAGGACTCTTTTCAATTCCATGTTTTATCTTCCAGCAACACTGCTTTCAGTTTAGTGCACCTCTGGCCCCCATGACTCTAATCCCATAATCCCTACCTTTACCTGGGGTTTGCCCAAAATTAAACCCTAGTTTTCACCTTGCAAATCATCTCAAAGGACAAAAAAATACAGGTTTGCCTTTATCAAGGTTCAGTGAGCAAGAAGGAAAAGAAAGAAAAATCTTCTTGTTGCATTTTTTTCAAAATAATA